CGATTCGATCTGTTGACAAAAAACTTCAGTTTGTATTTTTTTGATCTTGAAATGAACCGACCGTTTGCTCACCCTTAGATATAAGTTGTCATTGATTAGCTATTATATAGTAATTTAAAACATATAGTTATTTAAAGAAAAAAATATTCAGTAAAAATAATTATTTGATCAGTTGTGAGATATCAAATAATTTTCAAAAATTCAATTAATTATTATTAAAAGCCAAATGTTAGGTAGTAGTGTTTAATGAAACATTCTCTCAACATATAAATACTACTATAAATGTTATTCACAATGTTTTATTTATATAGAGAAAATAAAATTTACACAAAGATTAATAAGGTAATTTAACTAAATTATCCATTTTTTTCTAATTTGTTCTTGGAACATATTTAATTACGTCTTATTTTTAATGCAACCAACTCACATTTTCCTCCTTCTAAGGGTGCATTTAACATATATTTTGTAGGCAAAATTAGAGGGAAATGGTTGAACTAATTATGTTACAATTAATCAAAATCAAAATTTCCTAAAATTGAAATTTGTTTCAAATGTTTAACTTTCCTCTTGACATTAAGTCTTGTGCATTTTAAAAAATATGCATGCAAAAATGAACAAATTGTAGGGGGCCAAAATTTTTGATTCATGAAACATCACCTTAAACTTCTTCAATATGCTTACATATAAATAAATTTCACGCACAAATTGACAAGGTCTAAATACAAAATAGGGTACACAAGAATTTCTATTAAAACTGGTGTGTGTCTAAATAATTTTATAGATTATATTATATATCTATATACAAAATTTTTACCCAAATTCGTTTCGTACATTCTTAACTCTCCTATATTGAAGAATGATGTGAAAACATGAATAAATATGTGTATCATAATTAAAAGTAGAGTACATACTTTGAATGGGAAGATAATACACCTTCGGTTATACTTTAGAAATCTAAAGACATTAATAGAACCCTTGTTTTGTGTATCATTATCTCGTTTTTCTCATAAAATTAATGTAGATAACAAAGTTAGGTAAAGACATTATAGTCTTTTTCCTTTAACATTTTTTCAAAAATTTTCAAAACAAATAAATTTCTATATAAAAAAATAATGTAATTATAAATTTTCTCTATATAAAAAGAACAAATGGAGTACATTAATAGAATTAACAAAAATAGTAATTTAGGCCATAATTAACAAAATTTGATATCCTAATAGTTGTTACTAGGTTATTCAACATTAAAAATAAGAGAAGTAATATTTTACTTTGGTTATAATAAAATGGTAAATACGAGAAAAATTATTGCCGAAAATAGCATTAATTATGATCCAACTCTAATCAAAAGTTTAAAAATATTTTAAAATTAGACACTGGAAGTAGGGGTGGCCACGATTCCGGAACCGTCGGTTCCAATTCTAAAAATTTTGGAACCAGCACCGAACCGAAAATTTTCGGTTCCAGTTTGGAACCGAACGGTTCCGATTTCGGTTCCGGTTCATTAATGGTCCAAAACAGACAGTTCCGGCCGGTTATCCGATCGATTTTCCGGAGAATCGTATAATTTTAAATTTTAAATTTTGAAGACCGATTTTCAAATTTTAAAATAAAAAATTTGTGAAATAATTTCTAAAAAAAAATACACTTAAAAAAACTAAAAAATGCTTGAATTTAATTTATTTTTTTAAAAAAGATTTGAGCTTAATTTTTTTTTTTAAAAAAAGTCTTAAACTAAATTTATTTTTTGTTTAAAAAAGTTGCAACTTAATTTAAAAAAAAGGGCTTGGACTTAATTTTTTAAAAAAAAAAAAATAAATTGTCTACGTATCATCTTGGGGTTTAGAGAAATCAAAGCTCACGTGGTTCTTATTTACCTTGTACCAATTTCACTCCTTTTACCTTAGTTGCTATTTCCACCATTGGTTGATGTTCTCGTTGAGGACCCATCGTAAAGATAAAATTTCACTCCTTTTACCTTAGTTGCTATTTCAACCACCATTGGTTGATGTTCTTCGTTGAGGACCCATCGTAACGATCATATAAATCTTCATTTTTCTTTGAGATTTTCTTGTGTTCTTATTTCGGTCTTGCTCCAATCAATCCGGCGCATGATTGTGCTTATAGTGAATCGGGTGTTCAATATTAGATCGTGTTTCATCAAGTATATTTCCTCCTTGACTAATTTCCTCCTTGACTAAAAGTTTGTTCAACCGCAACAGTGGAGACCGGAGCTACTAAAACTTATTTTGCAATTAGAGAAAGTGTTGGGAATGTATTGGCGTGACGACTCCACCAATCTAGAATTAGAAATTTATTATCTGCAAAACTATCACTAAACTCGAAAGAAGTGGTAAGATAATTATCAAATTCAGAAAAAGAACCGGATTCCATCTTTTTGGTCTTTGTAGTAAAATACATTCAGCAACACCAACACTTACTCTTTCAGTTGGAAATGATTGATTATTGAATTGAGAAGAATTAGAAGAAGTAGATGAACTAAAAAATCGAACAAATTCACTATATAATTCTACAATATTTTGTCTAACTTCATGCAATACTACATTTATATTAACATTATCTTCTATATAAAGATTTAATAATTCATAATAAAAAGTTAAATATTCAGATAAAACTTCAATTTTACATTCTACGATCAAATACCCAAGCAATAAGGATTAAGGTGGATGAATATATTTTTTTTTAAAAATAAGATAACCATTTTTTTTATTGATAAAACACAATTTTTGTAATATAAAATCATTTTCACACATTCTTGGAGTGGCAGCTAACAATATTAAATGCATATAGGTAAAAATAAATGAAGATGTGAGATAATAATCTTTATTAAATTTATAGGTAGTATCAATTAAAAACTTTTTAAAATAATCTAAAAATTTTTTGGCATAATATCCGCAATTTGGTGGATATAAATTATTTTCTTCAAAATATTTTAGTAATAAAAATTGCACCAATAATTCTTTATACAACAAAAAACTCGTTTCGTTCAATAATTCATATGTTGAATTCCAACGAGTTGGGACATCCCTTGAAAAACGTTTTAGTCTTTTATTATTTTCTTTACAAAATTTATTTCAACTTTTCAATACTTAGGGATGTCCACATAAATATGAAATAGCTTTTTTAATTGGAAAAATATAAGATTCAAGAACTTTTAAATCATCTTGTACACATGAATTTAAAACATGGCAAGCATATCTTATATGAAAAAATTTGCCACCAATATTTGGTTCACAAATTGATTTAAGTTCAGTAATTGATTTAGTGTTAGCAAAAGCATTATCAAATGAAATTGAAAAAAAAAATTTTGTCAACTTATATTCATCTAAAATTGAAACAATTATATTGAAAACAAGTATTCTATAGAATATTATTTGTTTAATATGTTTTATCATCAAAAAGCATGAAAATGCAATAATTTCTTTTTTGAATTTTTCATCATCATTAATGCCAATGACATGTAATGCCGCATATAAGAATGTATTTTGCCAAATAATCACTTCCGAAATCTCAATAACAAATTGAAACACGGACGAATTTTTCCATTTCAGAAAATAAAAAGTTCTGAACTCTTTTTTTTCCTTTTTTATATAAAGAAATAAAAATAGTTCGTTTTTACAGTATTTCTTAAGCAAATTTTTTTTAGCAGAAGGATTTAAAGCTTTTTGATAATATTCAATTAAAAACCTACTTTTTCACTAAAACTAAAAAGATAAATGTTCTTATAGAAATATTTTAGCTAATTTTTTCTTTTTTTAGCTAATTCTTCTTTTTGTTGTTTTTCAGAATATTGAAATAAAGAAATGTTAGAAGATGTGTACCCGGAAATTTGTGTTTGAGACCGATCAATTTCTATTTTTGTTGGATATTTTGCCTCCAAATGCTTCCAAAATGATCCATAATCGTCCGATTGTTCGAATTTATAAGATTTTCCACAATAATTGCAACTTACATCGAACATTTTGTTGCCTTTGAATTTCTTCGTGAAATGAATGACGAATATGTCGGAACTTTATTTTGCTCTTCGAAGAACTTGTGTACCTTGCTCTTGCTCTTGCTCTTATTGTAATTGTTCATCATTAAATTCAGATTCTTGAGTTGGAATTTCCAAATTTTCATTTGGATATCCCTCAAGATTATATTATATTAGTAGGGAGTGAAATTGAAGATGTCGTTTGTAGGGATAGATGAATATGTTTCTCCAATCCTTCTCTTGCCTTAGCGGAAGTTGATGCCTCTACTTCCCATTATATGAAAATAATATGTAATTTTTGAAAAAAAATTGAATAAAAAAAATAGAAGAGAATAATGAGAGATTTGGAACCTTAGAGAGAATAATTAGAGATTGGAATTTGAAGAAATTAATTAACAATAATTTGGACAAATAATTGGAGATTGGACTTTGAAGAAATTATCTTGCAATATTTTTTGGACAATAATTTATGATGAAAATTAGAGAGATTGTAGAGTAGAGAAGAATAATATAAAACAGAGAGAGTAGAGATAATTTTGTGTGAGTAGATTGTAAATGGAATGAAGTATTTATAATAAATCCACAAAATCATTTTCCACAAATACCCTTGAAACTAGCCGTTATGTAGTTATTTATAATTGTTAGGATGGGTAATTTGGGAATTTCACAAAAAAATTTAAGGAAAAAAAAAAGCTGTTGCTTGCTGGAACCGCCAGTTCAAACCGGTCAAACAGCCGGTTCTATCAGTTAGAAACAGAATTCAAATATTCTTGAAACCGCCGGTTCGAACCGATTGAAAAAACCGGCGGTTCCATTCAGTTCCGGCCGGTTCTTAGAACCGCTGGTTCGCGGTTCCAAAAATGATGGAACCAGAACCGAACCGTAGCCACTGGGTCTGGTTCCGGTTCAGACAGGTTCCTGTTCTCACCAGTTTTGGTTCTGGTTCAGACCGGTTCCGAACCACCGGTTCCGGTTCTGGGAACCATAATTTGGCCACCCCTGACTGGAAGTCCAACTAGTCCTCTTTGTTAAAAAAAATATAATAAAACCCTAGAGTCTGCCGCAATCCTCTGGTTTTCCTCTAACAGCAGTTAGGGTTTTTGGTCCATCTCACTGCTTACCAAACCGATGGTACCATTCGCTCTACTTCTCCATCATATTCCTCCTTTTTGTTTATTTGTTTGTTTGTGTTACAAACTCACTGCATTATCTGACATTTGGTATCTCATTTTGCGGAATGGGTATTCTTTTTGATGGTTCTGTAAATTGTTTTGATACTGAGAACGAAGTCATTTTATTCATTTGGGCTGTTTTCATTTATCAAGCTATTCCTTCTGTGCTGCATATTCTTGATTTTTTTTGTTCTCAATTTAAGCTATTAAAAGCAACAGTACTATATGATTTTTTATAGTTATTCGGTTTCAATGTTTGTAGCAGGAATTGGTTAATGGAAAAGTTAGTAAATTTTATTTGAACAATGGTTGATGTTAATAATGGTGGCATTGTGTCATATCTCCACAACAGATTGGGTTCCCCTAAAATAAAAGAAGTTGTTTGTTATCCTTTCAACAGACTTTAGTTCATAAATTTCAGTATGAAATTGGATGTGAGAAAAGTGTTAAGTGAAATCAATATAGGTAGTGTAGATGTATTCAGCTAAAATGCTTGCTTTACCCTTTTATTTTTAGAGGTAGAAAAAGAAAATTTGAAAGGGGCAGACATTCCCTTGACACCAAAAAAAGTTAGCTGGGATCTCAGAGTCTGGGTTGGTTTGGCTGCTCACATGTTATCTCGTATTTAAATGAACCATGGGGTTGAAAGAATCTGCAAACATTTGTTAATTGTTTGGTCATGGTTTTTGGCCTATTTCTTGGGAAACCATTATTGTGCATTTTGATAGGTGGAAATGGTTATTATGCTGGAATAGTTAGATGTATGAACACTGGTAATCTGGATGCTCGATAGTGTGCTATTTGCCATTGATCAGCATTGAGCAGTTCTGTTGAGATGTAATAATTGTTCTTACAATGTAATACCTATTTTTAATGCATGACTATATAGATTGTCCATTTAGTTTTGTTTCTTATTTTATTTGTCTGCTTGTTTTGTTCTTCCCCTTTCTCGTATTTGTTACAGGCTCCTAAAAGAGTTGTGAAGCCCTCGGTAGTGACAAAGAAGAAGCCTGTGAGTAATCTCTCTCTCTCTCTTTCTCTCTAACATACTACACACACTCCTTATCTCTTTAAAATTTGTCCCAAAATAGCACATCACTGATTTGGGATGTCCCGAATTAATTGTCCATTTTCCAATTTTTAGTTAAAAGTTAATAAGCCAGGAGTTTATTTTGTCAACAGTACCCTCCAAATTCTCTTATTGACTCCTGTGACACTTTCCACTAAGGATTAAATAATAGTGAAATTACTCTATTCAAAAAAACTTTTCTTAAGCTTCATGCTGACGACAGAGTATATTATTATGGGAGGGAGTATTATTCTTCATGCCAAAGTCAAACTGGACTATTATTGTGGGAGGAAGTATTATTCTTTTAATTTTATGGGTGTACATTGACATTAGTTTCTAGATTTCTATAGCTAGCTAGAGGTGGTAAATATTTGCTATGGCTATTCCCTTTATCCTTCACCCGCCGTTCTATCTCTACATGGCCTCTTCGGTTTTGTCGGTTGATACGCATTTGTTTTGTTAGTGTAACTTATGCTTTAACTTGATACTTGTAGGAAAAGGTTCTGAACCCTTTGTTTGAAAAGCGACCAAAGCAGTTTGGAATTGGTGGTGCACTGCCACCAAAGAAGGACTTGACTAGATTTGTCAAGTGGCCTCATGTTGTTCGTATTCAGAGGCAGAGGAGGATACTTAAGCAGCGTCTGAAGGTTCCTCCAGCTGTTAATCAGTTCACAAAGACACTTGATAAGAACCTTGGTAAGATTTTTATGATCATGCAAGAAACTGTGGAAAACACTTGTGTATTTCATATAAATGTCTTGAATGTTTTGGTATTTGGTTGGAGTTATTATAACTGCCGATGGTCTTTTCTTAACTTGTCCAATTTTTTGTTTTATATTACAGCCACACAACTTTTCAAGTTATTGCTCAAATATAGACCTGAGGATAAGGCAGCTAAGAAGGAAAGGCTTCTTCAAAGAGCACAAGCTGAGGCTGAAGGGAAAACTGTGGAATCAAAGAAACCCATTGTTGCTAAATATGGGCTTAACCACGTTACTTACCTCATTGAGCAGGTAAGGTATCCATTTTGATATATGTCGTGCTCTTGGCCCTTTCCCACTAGATAATAAGTGATAATGCACAATAACCAATGTTCGATAGCTTAACTGAGAGTTCTTTTGTTTAGGTTATGCTTCAAGGATATGTTTGAAATAGTGATTTTATATTTCAGCCTTTATCCTTGTTCTGTTCTCCGTCTCATATATTCTTGATAATATGTCTGGCTATGCTCGATGATTCATATCTTTGCAATTCTTTTAGTCCTTGAGCATCTCTTTGTCATATTGAATGACCAATACTTGTGCTTATGTTGGTGTAGCTAAACAAATTTTCTTCGAAATGAACTCTATCTTACATGCAGAACAAAGCTCAATTAGTGGTTATCGCACATGATGTTGATCCGATTGAGCTTGTCGTTTGGTTACCAGCCCTGTGCCGGAAAATGGAGGTCCCTTACGCAATTGTGAAGGGCAAGTCACGCCTTGGAGCGGTGAACTTTCTGCACTTACTCCATGCATAAACATATCTTTCTTTCTTAGCAGTTTTATTTGGAAAATTGACCCTTTATGCTCCTTCGAATATTTTGCGGTGTAAAACAGATTGTTCACAAGAAAACAGCTGCAGCTTTGTGCCTTACATCTGTGAAGAATGAAGATAAATTGGAATTCAGCAAGATTTTGGAGGCAGTTAAGGTAATAAATAGTTAATAATATGTGTCAACACTAGTACCAGACGACATATCATTCCTTAAATGTCAAGTTCTTAAGTCTAAAAACGACATTTTCATGATTTCTTCTTTGACTTTTAATAGTCCCAATAATTTTAAGACTTTGTTCTGTCGATTTTACTATTTTGCCTATACCGGCAAAAGCAAGTTGTCTTTGACATTTTTGTTCCAAGGAAGCCAAACCGTTACTATTGTTCTTCGAGCTCTACCTGTTTTTTTACAGTCCTACTTGTGTTTCTTCAATTAAATGTAGGCCAACTTTAACGACAAGTTTGATGAACACCGGAAGAGGTGGGGCGGTGGTATCATGGGCTCCAAATCTCAGGCCAAGACCAAGGCAAAGGAGAGAGTATTAGCAAAGGAGGCTGCCCAAAGAATGTCCTGAGTTTTTAGTTAGTATAGTAGAGGGAAGCATTTACCAGAAAGGAACTTCTGACGACGAATTTTGCATTTTATTATGGCTTGGGAGTAGTAGTAGTCGTCGTCGCCGTCTTGATATTGAATATTATCTATCAAATTAGATTTTTGGTGGGAGAATGAATAGTTGTAGATTGCTCTTCTGTTTCTGTCATGAAGGTGTCATGATAAATGCATAAATCGCCCAATCCATAAATTCATGCCTCTTTTACTATTTTACATAAAAAACACTGTGGACTCTCAATTTTTATAAACACTGCAATTGTACCAATTAAGTACTTTAACTTATAAAAATTATTCTACTAAATGTTCCAAATTTTAAAATTAAATTAATAAACATTATTAGATAGTCGAAAAATGTGTAAATTATTATTTTTTTAAAAAAATATCTCAAATTTTGTGAAAAATCTATTGAGTCCTGAAGTTATGAATTTTAGTATCATTCTTTATTCTAGCAACAGTAATTATGACATTTAACTTGCGTTTGAAAGTAAAAACAAACTCTTAAGGCTACATTTGGTTACCTTTGTTGCTATTCCTTTTTTATTTTATATTGCAAAAATGAGCAAATTAAGCCTTAATTAGATTAATAATTGTTGTGATATATCAAAAAATTTTGAAGGGGTTGGACTGTCGTTGGAATGTTTTATATAATCTATATAATCTGAAGCAGATAATATTAAACAATTAATCCAATAACCCTGAAATATGTGAAGTAATGAAAGGCAGCAACTAGTAATGACAGCTAAATCATTCAAGATGCTCCAAACTTTGCAGGTAGTTTTAATTGTACCCTAAATTTAATTTTTTTTCTTAATACTCTTTACTTTAATTTTAGTTATAATAACACCCTAATTTCAAATTATACCCAATTTAATAAATAATATATTATTTTTTTTTGGGATCCAGTTTAACATTTTCCTCTAAATTAAACTCTTTCCCTACCACCACTGCTTATAAATAAATAAATATTTATATTTTATTTATATAAATATTAAAATAAAAATAATCTATTCATCTTAATATATAAATATTAAAATAAAAATAATCTATTCATCTTAAAAATAAAATACTTTTATTTATTTATATACAATTGACAACAAATAATGATTCCCTAAAAATAAAAATAAAATGACATTATAATGAATAACATCTATTTTTATAAGAGATTTAATCAGAGTGTAAACAAAATTCCATGTTTAAAAAACGATAAAACAAAAATCTAAACTAATATTCTATGCTCGTAACTAACTAAAAATTTATCCAACAATAATGTTTTATTCATTAAATTAGATACAATTTGAAATTAGAATACTATTGTAACTAAAATTGAAATTCATCATACTAGAAGAAGAAAGTTAGATTTAAGGTACAATTAAAGCTATCTATAAAGTTTAGAGTATTTTTAATGATTTAGCCAGTAATGCCAAAAAATGAACTCTTGAAAGGGAATAAAAAGTCAAATAAAATAAAAACATGAAATAGAAATATGCATGATTAAAGATAGAAATATTTCATAATTATGTTGAACAAAGATCATATGACCCTGTTGGGTTGATGACAGGAAAGGACCCTCTGATATGCACTTATTGTGGATACTTCAAAGATATTGCTCCCCACTCATTTGATTACATGGTCTTTTTGACATTAATTTTCAGATATATATATATATATATATATTTTAATTTTATGTGATTAGGTCATTCTACAAAATGAAACTTGTTTTAACTAATCAACCCAACTATATAGCATCTGCATAGCAAGCCCATCAATAGTCATGGAAACTTCTTTTTCAGCTCAATTATCCTTCCACAAAAACCTATCATCTTGCCAACAAAGAAAAGCCATAACAGAAACAAAAATCATAAACTAGAAGGAGACCATTCTGTCAATCTTACTGATTATAGGAAAAGTGGTCTACTGATAATGATAAGGCCAAATTTCTCGCTTCTCCGGCCAAAGCTTTACCTCAACTTTGATATCTAAAATCTGAACATATCCTCCTTGAAGACCTGCAGTGATGTTCTGAAATTTTGTTAGCAGTTAAGATGCCAGACATATTACTCCAAAAAGTTCATAGATCCTGACAAGAAGTAAAGGTGAGCCTGTGAGGTTATCTGGCAGTAGGTGCAACTTGCAAGGTTCAACAATCATTGACATTAATCCTCCTTCCCAATTACTCTAGAAAGCTAAAATCATGCTTCCTTTGGTAATAGAACAGAACTAAATTAGTTTTCCCAGACCTGAATTTTGAATGAACTAAATTAGTTTTCCCAGACCTGAATTTTGAATTTTCTTAGTATTTTGTTTGGAACGATTAACTGCAACTGTAATTTCTAGGGAACAATTTTCTCATCAATTACTAGGATTTGAGTAGCAAAGGTAACATTAAAGCATATGAGTGACAAAGCCACAAATATTAATCAGCCAATGGTACATAGACTAGAAAAAAGGACAAAACACAAGCCATAACAACAAAGTTCACACCCACAGGCCATGAACTAAAATTTTTTTCATTATATCATATTACATTCAATTACATCATACCGAACACCACCTAAGAGTAGTAGTGCTAACTTAACCTGGTGGGGTAAAAGTTCACACAATAATCATTTTGAATATCTGTGTCTCATATAATGTAGAGAATGGAATGAGTGAGGTCAGTCACAAAGACAAAGGATTAAGGTAATAACATGGTTGAAAATTGAAATTGAGAAATTAGATAAAGTGTGAGATATCTATTCAATAGGGAAAAAGTTCAAGACTTACAACAATTTTATATAATGACAGTATCCTACAACTGAGAGTAGCTTTGGTGTAATGGTAAATTTACTCCCTTGTGACACGAAATAAAAATCATAGGTTGGAGAAAAAACAGGCTCTCTGCAAATGTAGAGAGAAAACCGCATTTATCAACCATCTTTAGAGCTGACAAAGATAGGACGCTTTGTGAATGGTCATCCTTTGACAATTACTCTTCTTGCTGATAATGTAGAAATCCCAAAGCATATGCCTTCCAAATAGTGAACAAAGCGCTATTAGCAACCTACCTCTATAAATCTAGGCTGTGAAGAATTTGACATAATAGATTAAAACAGTGATTAAGGAGGCAAGATAAATCAAGAAGAATGTTTTGAAAATAACTTATAGATTTATCATTTCTTATTTTACATCATTTGTTCTTTTGAAGGGAGAAGAAGAGCATCTTAAAGTAGACAAGACCAGGAAAGGAAGATGAATACCCAAGACAACATGTTAAGGAGTGATTAAGAAAAATCTAGATATGCTAGCTCTTTATAAAGAATTAATACAAAACTGAGCAATATGGAAGGAATGGATGCAGGTAGCCGACCCCAACTAGCTTGGGATTAATGCTTAGTTGTTGTTGTATTTATTCTTTTGAAAGAGAGATCAGAATAATTAGTTAAGTCCAACACAGAAGTAATAATTGAAATTATTAAATTATAATTATATGCAGTTGATTTGATACTTAAAGACGTCAAAGGTTTCTACTTATTTGTTTGTTAATTCTATTTAAATATTGATAAAAAATTCATTTTAGAATTCTAAATTTTTAATTCTATGGAAAATTGGTTACACAAGAGTCAAATTCTATCAAAATCAGTAAAATTTGCAAATGAATTCGAACTCTAAACCAACCAGCGTGCAAGCTACTAATGCAACAATTGCATAATTAGTTCTACGTTTAATATTAATAATTGAAATCATCAAACTAATATGCCTATGACACTAAAGATTTGAGCTTTAAGTGTATAACATCAATAAAGAGAAATAACTAAATAGCAGAAAGCCCAATAGAGGAAATAAAGAAAAAAAAATTACCCAAATGGAAAATTGGCGGTTATCTAAGGGAAGCAGCAGTAGCAGAAGCAACAGCTGCTTCTTCCTCAGGAGTCTTGGCAACAATGGAGAGAGCATGCAATCCCGAGCTAAGTTCATCCGCCAACGCATCATAAACCATACGGTGGCGCTTGAGGAGAGTCTGGCCAGTGAATTTGGGCGAAACAATCTTCAAATTGAAATGGGTCTCTGCATTATTGCCCTTGAAAGCAGCATGGCCTGCGTGTTGATGGGAAACGTCTTCGATTTCAATAGTGGCTGCTTCCAATGTCGACTGCAATGTCGTTTTGATTCTGTTTGCCCTCGACATCAACACGGTGGCTCCTCGCGAACCCATATCTCTAACTCCTGTATTTCTTTGTTATCTTTCTTGATGGAACCCCAGACGTAGAAGATCAACAGTCAGTTAAATTGAACGCGTTCGGGTTTTACCTGCACACCCCTAAAAAGGAAAATTGCATAACACATCCAATATTGAGTGAATTTTACACTTCAATCCTTGTATTTCTTTCTCTCTTTTTCCCCATAAATCTTGGATTGGAATTTAAGATTGCGAAAATTGAACATACTTATAACTTGCGCTACTTGTAGATATTTAAGGAGTTAGGATTTTTTTTTTTTTTTTTAAGAATGAGATGAGAACTTTTATTAAGGAATAGAAACGTTATCTAAAATAAAGGGAACAATGGAATGAGGAAACTCCTTTCAAACCAAATATGAAATAAAACGTGATTACCCGATTAAAAGTCCAACACGGTAAAAATGAAGTCGTTTTTCTTTTTATTTCAAAGAGTCACTTTTCGTTTTTAATATCTCTTTTCCATTTTCTCTCTCTACTCCTCTCCTTTCAATCTCTTTTTTTTGTTTTTTTCTCTCTAATCCTCTCCTTTTCAATCTTTCAACAAATATCTCTTTAATTGTATTTCTTCTTCTTCTTTTCAATTTTCTCCTCTTCTCCTCCTTAATTTCATTATAATAAAGTTTCTGAAATTTTGATTTTGGATCTTTAAAACCCCTAAAATCAATTTTTTGCAACTCACTGTCTCCCCATTGTTGCGCTACACAGGTCGAAAGTGGAGAGGAAGAGAATGGCGGAGAGGCGACGACAACAAGTTTGGGTCAATCGGAAAGTGAAGAGGGAGGAGTCGAAAGTGGAAAGAGAGGAGTTGGTGATGACTGGACACAAGCAGATGATCAGAAAAAAATAAATAAAAATGGAGGGGGAGTGCTGTGCACAATTGGGGAGAAAGGAGAGTATAGATTTAGATTGGGGCTGATTTAGGTTCATTAAGATCCGGTTTGACTCAAATCACAAGTTTTTACTTAGTTTTTTAATTGGTTTGAGGATTTCTAATGGGTTTAAATTAGTTTAGCACAAATAAATGCCACGTGGAATAAAGTATATTAACGTGTTTTAAAAAAATATCATGTAAAAGTGATTACCTTAGGTTTTGATAAAATTGAAGTTGATAAATGGTTAAAATAAAAAAGTTCAAGAAGATTTTATGTATTCGAATTATTACATAATTACATAATGTTATTTCAATCTTGGGCAGTTATCAAACGGATAAATAAAAAAATAAAAATTAAAGGACTAAAATTTGCTAATTTTAAATAAATATAAACCATCTGAAACCGAATTATACATTATATAAAAGACATCCATTTGAAACCAGAAGAAAGAGATAAGAGCTTCAGGAGCGAAACTATCGACAATGGCATCATTAATGTCAACACTTGCTCTCTCCGTTACTTCCTCTAATTTCACGTTCAGTTCCAGTTCAAGTCCTGGAAGACGCAGAACAATTTCTTTTCCTATCACTAGAGCAAGCACTCTTGCTGACAGCTCTGCTCTCCTCCATGCAGCCAAGCACACTGTACAATTTCATAATTCTTTGTTTCTTTTTCAAAATTTTCAATTATTTTTTTATATTAACTCCCCTTTGGCTTGATCTCAATGTGGGTTCTTTGATCCGTTTAGTGGGTTTCCATTATTACCTAGACCTGGAAAATGGGAATGCATTTCAACATTTGTTCTTTGGTTTAGTTTCAGGACTTTGAAACTGGGTTTAACTGGAATTCAGGTTTAAATTTATGAATTTTTAATCAGAAGAATAAGTGTGAGGTAATGAGAGAATTAAAGATTATGATGGAAGGTTGCAATTCAATGAACAATGTAATGGAATAAGGGAGAAATGCAATGTAGAGTAATAATGGATAATGGGATTAAATGGTTTAGATAGAAATATTATTGCTTTTTATGAATAGTTGGATTGTTGAAAAGCATATGGTTTAGTGCCCATTTCAATTTAGGGACAAAGTAATTCTCTTATCAATTTGGTAGTCTTGTAATTTAACCATTATCATTTTAGTATCAACTCTATGTAAAATGTTTCTAAAAGTATACTGATGGTGCCACGTGGGTTATCTACTTGGATGGGCACATGGAATTCTTGTGGAGAAAGAAAGAAAAAAAAGAACGTATAGAAAATGGTACTTTTACACATATTATTAATAAAGTGTTGAAATTCATGTATTAAGTTATTTTATGACTTAGTCCTCCTTAAATTCAGTGAGTTCATCTAAACTGATACTAAAATGATAAGGGATTAAACCTTCTGTATTAAAATGGTAGAAAATAAAATTCTTTTACTGATATTCGCACTGACACTGAACTTTTCCCTTTATTTATTTTGGTTCAAGATAGGGGAAGGGGAAGCAACCTTTTTAACCCCTAGCTGTCTTCATTGCTGTTTGAAGTGGCTTTTAACTCTTTATTTATTTATTTTTTTTTTTAATTTTTTTTTATGTATTTAAGCATAGTTTGGAGAAAGCATTCAGAGTTGGTGCTTTTTAATTTCTGCTATCGGGTTTACTTCTTTCAATACTTTTAGTAAGAATTTAATTTGTTGTTATTTTTTTTCTTGAATTTTAGCTTATCCCAATTGCATTTGTTTTGTTGTTTGTGTAATATATCATATGTAATGCTAAATTTTCAATATATAGTTTATGATTCTCTAGTTGTTCTTATACGTTGATCTCCACAGTGCCTCATTTATCTTATCTAGAATTTTACTTTTAGTTACCTCTTGCATTACATAGTTGAAGATTTCATTACACTTACAAACTTTGTGTATGTGTTTAAACATCTTGGATTATACCAGAATACTAAATATTAGTTGTGTTCTTAGTTTAGAGAACATATGAAATGATGATCCATAAAATGAGGATGAAGAGAAAAAGTGAAATTTAGCAAGAGAAAGTCAAAGGTAGTTTAGGCTGCAAAATAAGCTTCCTGAGCTTGCAGCATCAAGGATTTTGGCAAGTTTAACTTATTTAATTTTTCCATCCACCTTTCTAGTCTTTGTCATTTCAAGTTCATGTTCTTTAGATGGTTATCAGTGGTGGTTAATTACTGGAGAATTCATTTGTTGCTTGCTTTCTAGGTTGATTCATACATAGAAAGTGGCATGGTCATTGGATTAGGATCTGGAAATGCTTCTGGTATGGCTATACAATATTTGGGTCGACAACTTCGAACAGGTGCTTTAAAAGATATAGTAGGCATACCCATGTGAGTTGTGTTCTTCCATGCCATCATTGATGATGAGTCTTTTCTTTATCTTCTTGTTTTCCATGAGCCAATGTCTTCTTTTTCCACCATCAACAAAAGCTCAGAAGAAGTTATATAACCTGTGATTTAGTGCTTTCCAAACTTGGCTTGTGTTTCTTTTTCCCCCCTCACTTTAGTAATTGTGGTTTTTATGTTTTTAGAATAGACTTATGGTGTAAAATAAAATCAATTTAATTGTTATTTTATGTCATACAAGTACCATCCTGATATCGTTAATCAAAACAATCAATGCTAAATCGATATGAAACAAAATCACAAAATTCAAAGTGAAAAAGTGTCAAACCTTTTGAATATTTCCACCTATCCAGTAAATCCTTAGAGTATGGAAGCAAAGTTCACTGACTCATCTGATTTTTTTTTTCCTTCCCCCTATGAAAATGAGCTGAACTCTAAGCTGTGCTACTTTCTATGTTTGTCTTTTAATCTTTAATCTTTATAAGCTCAGATCTAAATATTGTGGATGTTATGCACTTGTATTTTTGTTGTGCTTTTGTGTTCAACTGTATTGTAGCTTTTCACTATTCCCTTCACTTTTTGCTTCTAAATGTATAGCTTGCTTTCAAATTTACGTAGGTCGGTAGCAAGTGCAAGTGGAGCAGCTAAGGCTGGCATTCCATTGGATCAATACCAAGATGGTTCTCAAGTGTGATTACATTCTAATAATCTTTTAAAGTTTCTTGTTTCCAATATTACAAGTTCTGGATGCATGCTGTTTATGTGGAAGAACATGCAGTTAAATTGTTCATGCATTGTAAGTGAATCTGCTGAAGCCAAAAGCTATATTAAATGGGAAGATTTCAGAAAATGTCTAGGATTAGATTGGTTGATTAGAACTGGTTGGTATGAAGAAACAAATACTTAAGAAGTGAGAATGGGATACAAATTCCAGGGAGAATTTGAGTTGCACCAGTTCTCAAGATGTCATTACAACTTCTCAGTTGCATGATTTTGACACAAGCATTTTAACCTTACCACTGTATCACTTTAAGTTGTTGCTATGTAGATTGATTTTGCATTTGATGATGCTGATCTTATAGAAGAAGAAACACTAATTGCAGTCATTGGTCGCCGAAAATCACAAGTTGAGGAGTCAATCATTCAAGAAAAGGTGAGTCTGGTATTGTTATATGTCCTGTTACCATAAAATTTAAGTTTCATGGACATTTTCAGAATCATGTGTGTATGAATTTGATGGTCAAATGTTTCTATTTATGAAAACATTTTGCATTGATGCCTCAAGGTTGTTTCGATGTTAAATTTTCGCTAATAAGTTTCCTGTTTGTCCTCCTTTTCACTTGCAGTCAATTCTAAATGCAGCCAATAAACACGTTTTCATCATCCCAGAAAAGCAATATAAAGGTGTTATAGACGGTTCCATTCCAGTTTTGGTTCAGTCTGTAAGCAACAGCAACTGCCAATTTAAATTCAAAGCATTAACTGCCAGAATGAGATCAGTGATCTAATTATTAACATGATCTTTTTATTTCAGCTGAACTGGATGGAAGCTGCTGAAGAGATCGATGATCTATTTTTGGGTGATGCAGAGGTATGAATCTCACTTATAATTGGTTACTTCTTGGGTTATCTATAAAACAATAAGTGACTTGTAACTTCTTTTTAAAAATTTACCTCATTAAATTGAGTTTTCACATGGCTGAAATCCCTACAATATTGAGCCCCAGTTAACAGTAAACTAACAATTTCCTTGTATGTGGTGTGTCTTATATTGTCTTCGTGAAGAAAATTGTTTTTTCTGGTCTGTTATGGTACATTGCTCACAAATGCAGTATCATTTTACAACGTTGGACTCAAGATATTGGCAGGCCTATTAATCTTAAAATGCCTTGTATTTTCGTGTTTTATTTATTTATTATTATTATTTTCTTATTAGGCTTTCCAGTAGTGTATAACTTGAATCTGGTTAAGGAAGCCTTAATCAAGAAATTATGTCATATTACTCTAATGACAATCTAACAATATTTAACACGGTGGAATGTGATGGATATTTGCTTGTATTTGTCAGTTCAAGCTTGTTTGCAAAGACCTGCCTGAGGAACCTTGTTATTTTACCAGGGCAATAAAGTGATATTTTTTACCATGAAAAAAAAAGGCATGATTTATTAACACCTAGGCCTTCTAGTTAAATATAACAAAGAAACTGTTTAGTTGTTGTCTTGGAAGATCCTCAGTGGAAAAAGTTCTAACTTTCAGTGATTTTACTGAATTTGCTTCTGAAATATCAAATTAGTGCTTTTCTGCTTTCAAGAATGACCTTATTTGATGATTTATAGTAGTTTACTAACAATTTATGTAATATCCAAACTTTGTGGTTCATCTCTTCATTTGAATTCTAATACTCCCCCTTTTTACCACTTTTGCTTTCTGTTTCGGCAACCAAAGGTATGGAGGAGACCATCTATAGGGGATGCAGGCCCACTAGGTGGTGACTTTCCTCTTGTTACAAGAGAAGGTCACAATGTTCTTGATGTCATCTTTACATCTCCAATACAAAGTCTCGGTAGGTTTGAGGATCATGGTATTTTCTTGCTTTAATCTTTGTTTTTGTTTTTTAAAGACAACTCTTTCCATTAATCTCTTTATGGTAATGTTTTCTTATTTTAATCATGAACCTTGTATTTGTGATTGCAGCTGAAGTAGCTAAAAGCCTTGATAAAGTAGCAGGGGTTGTGGATCATGGAATCATTTCCAAATTCCCGTTAGTTTCTGAGTTTCCTTAATTCATATAATATGTGTGGAATCCATATGGCTTGATATGACATATAGGATAGGTCATATGTCCTAAAATATGAGTCCAAATGGATGGACTTGAAATTAGAAGGTCTTTGCAATGGTTGAATTGATAGATGAAGTAGGAAATTTTAAATCCTGGGTTCAATGATTAGCATATCATGATAATTTTGGCATTAACAGTATTAAACTTTTGCCTGCTCCAACTTCCGAGAAAAAAATAATCCCAGATGCTATCTCAACTTTAGATAATTTTGCCTAATGTGGCCATTCTCAAAATTAACTTGCATTTAACAGGACATCAATCCATGGTGTCAATAGTAATTCTGCTGATGAACCCAATCAAAAGGTTACCTTATAGATTCTATTTTGATCCAGAATCTTTGTTCTACTGAGAGCATAATAAGCTCTTAGAACCTTAAGAAGCAAGCCTTCAAATTATTGCTGAAGTTTATGGTTGCAATGTGAAAATGCATCTGAGCACACATTGACAGCCTATAAAATAAATATTAGAATTAAATAGAGTATACTTGGTGGACAAACGCCTTTCAGTCCCTGGAACTTGCAATATAGGAAGGCTTGTTCACTAGGACACAATTGGTTTTATTGATTTAGGCTGATGTCTATGTGTTACTGTCAATGTGAAGTGAATATAAACTCATCTAATTAACTGGTTATCCTAGTAGCTCGAAAGAAGAGACTCTTTTTTGTTTTTGATGGGATGGTGAAGGGATGATCTAGGGTAAAGCACCCCTTATCACCCCACGGCATCTGGTTAGGGAAAACCCTGCCGAGAATCGAGAAGTGGGAGGGCACCGAGCATAAATGTGATAAATTTGAATTAAAAGGGTCGAGGTAATGAATGTGTTAGAGGTTAGAATCTATTAAGATAAATTAAATAATTTAAACTTATTTGGGCTTGGGCCAACCAATACTAAAAGACTAATATATGAATTTGGTTTTGAACAATGTGGGATTCTTAAACTCCCCCTAAGTGCAACCTAATTTAAATCATTTGGGCTTACTTGGATTGGGGCCAACCAATGCTAAAAGTTTAGCATATGGATTTGATATTTAACCAATGTGAGATTCTTACTGGTCCTCCTTAAGTGCTAATGCTAAAAAGTTAGACTAGCCAACTAATGCTAAAAAGTTAGTACTAACCAATTAGCTAACTAGTTTTTCACTCTTATATGTGGTTTATAGATTTGGTATTCGACCAATGTGGGAAATATCCTGACATATATTTTTTAGTGACGCAACTTTGACTATATGTAAAAGGTAGAGAAAACAATTGCAAAGGTTTCATTTCATATTTATTAGAGATGAAGCACCTTAACTCCTCATGACTGCCCTCGTTTCAGTTTAATGCCACATGTACAACTATTTTATTCTTTCCCAGAAAATATTTCACACTGCTGATACATTTTTTTATAATATTTGTTGCATTGTTACTGGAGAGATACAGGTGCATTGCAGTGATTGCTTCTGATAATGGGCTTTGCATTGTCAATAATCCACCGACAGATGCAATGAAGGCTGTCTTGTGAATGTTACCTCTGATATTTTTCCTGTATTCAAGCTTTTGCAGAGATTACTATCATTTTGTTTCTTTAAGAACAGAGAATGAAGAAAAGACTTATGGTAAACAGATCAAAATAAAGGAGTTGAAAGGATATGAACCGCTTGCTCCTTTTCTTTTTTGTGCATAATGATTCATCATTTAATGATTTTTTGACCAGTAAGTGAGTTTATTAAACCAATCCTGAAATTTCTAGCTGTAATTTGGAATGTTTGAGCTTTGGTCTGTTTTAACATGACATTTGCTCTCGTGAGGGTTGAGATATTTACTCTAAATGCTACCCAACATAGAGAAACTTCTGTTTGGTACAAAGTGTAGGTAAACCTGATAACAAAACCTTCAACTTTGAAGGGTCGGTTTGCCTATTTTTTGCTGGGTTTGCTCTTAAGGCAGTTGCTGGGCCACTGGTTTATCTTGTGGCTGTTCAAAAGAAAAGTTGGTGGACAAACTTGGAATTTTATAGACAATAATTTATTGTATTTTATTTTTATTTGTATATGAATGCTTAAGGTAAAACATTCTTTCACTCACATATCTAACATAGTGAAAATTGATAAGTGCATATTCGATTTGACAAAAATTCATATGAAGAAATGCTAGAGATGAACATTCTAGTATACGGTTAAATTTTTCATCCAAATTTGACCCAATAAAGTTTAATTTGCGTATAAATACAGCATCCAAGAAATGAAGTAAATATAAAAAATAAAAGTGCATTCCTAGTTCAAATATTGAACTGAATCATTGTTTGGTGAGCTATAACAATTTATATAATGGAATGAGAAATACGTTACGAACTCGATTACAATGTTTAGAGGGACTTTTTTCTATTTATTACAATGTAATTAGAATTCTAACCATATTCCTCATTATTTAAATTATACTACATAATATAATAAAAAATGTAATGGACCTTCAAGTGAACCAATTTCGGTGGCTGTCAAACAGGGTACATCTTGTTTAGACAGCAGGGGTAGGAATTATACCCCATTTTCTACGGACATCATTTATATCCTTATGAAAGTGCTCCTCATAGTAATACACACACATGAGATCTGTGCACTGCATTCCTGCTCGGACAGCCCATGGCAAGTAGTGATTGAAGAACAATCTCCTCTGCTTCTCACTAAATCTTGCTGTGGCACCTACCACAGACATTAGACACATTGGCAGATACATTTGCTCAAACTCTTATCACCTTGAGTGCTGATTCACAGATTAGGTTGGTGGGAAGGTCGAAAAGGGTGTGCCAGAAGTCTTGCGGTTCACGAGCTCTCAAAGCTACATATGCCAGTTCATCTGTGTCCATGAACCGCACTGGTGGACGATCGTCTGGGGAAAAGTTCGTAGATCCCATGAATCTTGCATAGGCAGCACCATATGTGTTTTCTGGCAAATCCCATGCGTGTCGAACTTCTGCAGAAATCACATGCGGTCTCTCCAAGACTACAGCCTGTCAAAAAGATAAGTTTGTTTTTCTTCCTCATTGCAACTTAAGCATCAGACATGATTTGCTTTCATAAAAGTGCAAAAGAAATCTTCATGCAGAACTCTTCTGTTTTTTTTTTTTTTTTTTTTTTCTCTCGCTTCTCACTAAATCCTTGCTTGTGGACCTGCACTACGACCATTAGACAATTGGCAGATACATTTGCATCAAATCTTATGCACATTGAGTGCTGCATTCAGCAATTAGCCGTTGGTCGGGTCGAAGGTCGAAGAAGTGCGAGATGGTTCGCCTCAGATATCTTGCGGTTCACGGAGCTCCTCAAAGCTACAATATGCCAAGTTCATTCTGTGTCCATATTGAACCGCACTGAGCTGTGACGATCGTCTGCGGGAAAAGTTCGTTAGGATCCTCTGATGAATCTTGCATAGGCTAAGCCGACCACTATAGATGTTTTCTGGCCAAACTTCCCATGCGATGTCGAACTTCTGCAAGAAGGATTCACATGCGGTCTCTCCAAGACTTTACAGCCTTGTCAAAAAGGATAAGTTTGTTTTCTTCCTCATTGCAACTTAAGCATATCAGACATTTGATATTGCTTCTCATAAAAGTCAAAAGAAATCCTTCATTGCAGAACCTTCTGTTTTTTTTTTTTTTTTTTTTTGGCCAGCTATATCTTCGAATTCCAGTATCCATTATGAAGATTTGAAAAAGAGTACGTTTTTTTTTTTTTTTTTTTTTGGCCAGCTATATTTCCGAATCCAGTATCCATATAAGTTGAAAAGTACAACAAAGAGTTCTAGAGATGGTTTTAGCAAGAGGCTTCCCAAAATTATTTTGCTGGAGTCTTAAGTTTTCTGGACAATGACCGATAGCCACCAGCTGCAAGTAAAATTTCTGAAAGAAATCCCTAGTTTCTCTAAACAGGAGAAAGGAAATAGAAAGTTTATTCCTAGAGAGATTATGATTTGTAATCTGGAATTTCTATTCCTCTCAGGACAAAAATGAAGAACATGACAGTCAAAAGTCAAAGGGACATATATAAGATTTCATCATCAATCATTCAAAATACTAAAGAAACATACCTAAATCACAATTCCATGAGCAGTAATACTGTTAAAAACTGGAAGAAATCTTGACAAAGAGACTCACCCTGCCTTCTGGGCTCCTCTTCATCCTCTGAAGAACTTTTTCAAAAGCAGGCTTACCAGTCGTTTCTCCAAGAGCTGCTATAAAATCTGCTCTTCTTGGGTCTACCAATGCACCAATTGCTGAACCAAAAGCAACTGCAGCCTGTTGCCACCGGTTTAGCTGCACCCTCACACCTCCTCTCATTACACAATCGTCTCAGCTTCTGATGTGGAGAATTGACATCAATTTTATAATGTATTTCAATTTTTGTAGTAATTTCAACTTCAATTTTAATTTTAATTCTAAGAGTAAAATTAAAACAAAACGACGAAGAAGGAAAGAGAGAGAGAAGAAGAAAAAAAGAACATTAATAACTGATTCTCCAATCATAAAACAAAGAGACCAACTTCCATTGCACAACAAAAAATACCAGATTATCCAACAAGGAATTCAACATTAATATGTGATAAATTGCAAAACACAATACACTTGAAAAACTCTTATTTAAAGAATTAGCAAAAAGACATTCTCAGCTTAGCGAAAACAGGAAAAACATACAAAACGAACATCAAAAAGGAGAAAAAGAAAGAAAAAGAAAAGCAGGTCTAAACAACAGAAAGATATGCATCAACAAATTACGAGCTTAATTGCAAAAATTTAACAATTTAAAGCTAAAGAATCGATATTCCAATACCCAATGGAAGAGGCAGATACTTGTATATGAAAGTAAGCAGACTTCTTTCCCTTTGATTTTCCCACATTCCAAGCACTAAAGTTAACAGAATCAAGACCCAACACCATTTTATTGTGCCCTTATGCTAAGCAAAAAGGTTCTTATAGGCTCCATTGCACCAAATACACCCCTTCTGATTATCCTCGGCAAAACCAGCCCAAACCGATAAAGCATTATAGTTTTCCAATTGTAATGATAGTAAGAATAAAACCAAAGAGACACAAAGTAAATTCAAAATATTAATCAAAACTCAAAAGAATCAACAAAAAGGAAAACCCTTATTACCCCCAATTAAAAAACACACCGATGTCATTTGAATCCAAACAACGAAATTTGCGAATAGAAAAGCTCTTGAGAGTTGATTTTGGAAAATTGCCTAGCAAAGAACGGCAGCGCCCAACTCTGAGAAGTGCTATTCAAAACCGGGTCAGGACGGGTTCAGATGGAGTTCAACCCGACCCAATTTTATCCAAAAGCTGATCCTTTTTACAGTTAAAGGCTGTGTAAAGTGACATTTCAAGGTAGGGAAGACACCAAAATAATGTAACCGATATTCTATACTGTTATGCTTATGCATCAGTTCATGACCAACATACTTAGCTTTGTTATCTTTGAAGAGGCTATAAATACCACATTCGTAGCTCATCCCACTCAAACTCACAGAAATATATAGCATACAATTGTAAAAACACACTGTAACAAGCAGCAAAAATGAAGGGAGCAGTCGTTGCAGTTTTGGTTGCTGTAGCTCTTGTTCAACTCATGGCAATGCCAGGAGAGGCAGTGGATTGTGGGCAAGTGAATTCATCTTTGGCCCCTTGCATTCCCTTCCTGACTGGAGCAGACACCGCTCCATCAGCTGCATGTTGTGGTGGAGTCAAGAATTTGAAGGCGCTTGCTCCAACCACAGCCGATAGGCGAGCTGCCTGTGACTGTGTTAAGGCTGCTGCCTCTCACTATCCAAATATAAATGAAGATTCTGCCTCTTCACTCCCTAAAAAATGTGGGGTTGAAGTTACTATCCCCATTTCCAAAAACACCAACTGTCAGAAGTAAGTTTATCTCATTACTTTTTTGTTGTTGTTGAGTACTATAATTATGTTATTTCCTAACATGATCTGCAAGTAATGCTTCGTTTTCTTAATTTTCTTGTTCCAGCATCAATATCCAAATATAATAATGAAGATTCTTGCCTCTCACTCCCTTTAAACAACTGTGGGGTTGAATCTTTACGTATCCCAATCCAAAAAACACCAACGACTTGTCAGACAGTGTATACGTTTATCTCACTTACTTTTTTGTTGTTGCTTGAGTCATCAGTACAAATTACCTGATAATTTCGATATGTTATTATACGCTAACATGATCTGCAAGTAATATATTCTTTCTTGTAACTTTTTCGTCTCGCTCTCGTGCATCAACTAATGATGAAGACGCAGAGTCAGGCAGAATACAATTCCCTGGAGTGTGAGTTGACATCATACATTTTTCTTTTGTTGCAATCAATATATACGTAATTATTCAGAACTAATTGCTGAGGCGTGGCACGTGATCCCTCCGCTAAGATTACCTCTCTCTAATGTATTAACAAATCACTCGTCGCTCCTAATATAACTCCGCCATACTAATATCGCACTAACTGTATTACTCTCCGCAAATTAAAGAGAGCATTCTAGCAGACAGGGGATTTTTTGCAAACAGTTCACGTGCCTTACGTCATTTAACATGCTTCGCCGCCGTTCAGATTATGAGAGATGGAAACTCCCACCGTATGCCTAGATTCTTCAAGAAACTGGGAACGACTATGTTATTAAGCATTTTCAATGTATTAAAAAACTATGCGAACTTTATTTTTAAATAATCAACAAGTTTTTAGAGAGGAAGAGTTTGATTGACTGAAATTGACCTCCGCCTTCACTAAACACCAGGACCAAACTCTTACTCCCAGATATCGTGCTAACACGTAGCAAATCACCGCCATTATACTAATAAATATCAATTTGCTCCTTGCAACAATCGCTAACACCCCTCAAACAGCTTTCAGATGATCGACCCTTTTGATAAATACAAATACCTTGCCATAAATGTTACCCAAGTATGACAATAAAGTTTGCTTCTATGGCCTTATGGATTACTACTTTACGAGAAAGAGAGACAGAGCACCCCGGAGCTCTGCAATGTAGACTGAAAGATGAGGCACGAGTAGGAGATGAGAGACTACTGGTAGCTTCCTTTCTTGAAGGAGGAGAAGCCAATTACACATAGATCGTATTTCCATCAAATGGATGCATTACCTTTCGCTACCTAGAGACGCTCTCGCCACTCAAAACACCTTGGATAAGAGCAACCGCCTAATTACACAGAGATCTTTAACTATGTTATTTTAAACAGATGTGCTTTACCAAAAAAATGTTAATTTCATGATTATTATTGTGAAATTTCGTCAAATGGTCTCTGAGTCGTTCGTAAGACTAATCGCTTTTGGTGTTTTTATATACGAAAAATTTATTTAAATATAGTGTAAATTATAAGTGTTTGCTTAAATTTTTCATAACTACACTTTATCCCCTTATATTATAACTCCTCGACACCTTAAAATTTAATTATGTATCCATTCCTTAAATGTCTCTTCTTCTTAAACTCTCCATAATATTTGAATAACTTGTTAAGTAAATCTTTGACTTATAGATTTTATAAAGAGCCTAATTTGCTCCTATCTACTGATTCTAATTAGGTTGACAATCTATCAACTGTGTCCGTTCCATAATATGACCGACTCGAACTCACTCACGACTATTTCCTTTCACTTCCACTTCTCACACACGCACCGCACACCTAAGAGAGATCTCTTACTCGTATAATCCTAAAACCAAACCTCTCTCGCGCGCGCCCAGTCGAAGTCCCTATGGCTCATCTTATGAGCTCATTGTAAATCTCATTTAAGCCACATAATCTATACGTGCCGGTGTATATATAGCATACTCTCTTTTCCTGTATAGGCTCACTCTCTAGATTGTGTGTGTGTCTACTGTGTGATGTAGTTCCTGGTCAACTCTATACTCTCTATCGAAGTGGTTCTCGCAGATGAACATAATAGACAAGGTCAGTATACTTAACTTCAGACTTTTTCTAAATCTTACTTTAATGCTTATCTTATAGTAATATATACCGCATATAATAACCTACTTTATATATGATAAGAACTATCCCTACAAATATTAATACGTACTTTTATAAACTCTCTATTGCACACCTCTTCATTTGTCTACAGACCAATCATCTCTCCTTGAGCTAAAGTACGGACTAAACACACCAACATATTGGTTTAAGGACTTTTGGTGATACACTTCGGACTAACCTGATGATTAAGCACCAAAACTTTAATTAATCTAAGGCTTAGCTAGAAGTCTGGTTATCAACATATCGCTCGGGGGTCTCATAAGAAGATATGTAGAAAGACTGCGGTCAATTCTAATCAGTTCATCGCTAAATTGTTATTCAGCTCCCAGCTCTTGACTTCAACATCTTTTGAACGTCAAAGAACGTTACCTCTCTAATTCAAAATCGGACTCGACAAATATCAAGTTTTCGAACTAAAAAATTAAAAAATAAACTGGGTTACTTCTATCCACTGTAACATATTAACCTCTACGGGATTTGTGGTTTCTTGTCTATCGTTTGACAAATCTCATAGTGCAGATTCATCGTATACACATTTTATTATCCTCTTATTCTTCGTCGTCCATTCCGCACTATCATCTCTCTCTCGATAGTTACGCGTACTCTCCTAAATTCCTAATATATAATCTCTTCAGACTATGTGTACTATCCTAGAGCATTCTCGGCTCTCCCGCATATAAACACGATACTATGACTCATCAGCCTAAAGTTTTACTTTGTCTTATCATATCACCATATCTAGCTCCAATACTTAACTCGGATGATGTGCGTCAAGCTCCCCTCCACGATTACCAAGCTCAGTTCTAATACTTCGATACCTTTGTTCCATCTCTATATTAGTTACTACAGTCTTCATTGCCGCTCCCTAGCATTTAGTATCAACCTCACGCATATGTAATATAGCAGTACATAAATTAAACAAGGACCCAGGGCCAACCGATCTGCACATGATTTAAGCTAACGAGGTCAGACTGAGTTGAAATCTTCAGCGAACAAGACGAATTAAGATCGTAACAACAGCCATTTGACTATCTTCTATTGAGTGAAATATAGACCTGCCTACCGCACGGTGCTGCGTTAAGGAAATCTACAATTAAGGTAGGCGTAGGGATAGATTGGTCCTGGGCGCTGGGTCATCATGGTACCCTTAACAATCATCTTCCCCTTGTGCTCTCTCAGCTACAAGTTTGGAGCCTTAAATATACAATTGTCAGTTCTCATGAAAAAGCAGAGACAACCCTCATTCTCTTCCTTACTGTCATGTATAGATGTATACTTGAATGTACTGTAAGGAATGGTGGTTTGTCGATGGGTACCACCGGAAGAGAGAGATGCAACGCGAAAAATTAAAAGAGGACATTTAGTTTAAGTTATGCAATAACAGAGAATTGCCATTGCCGGGTGTGATAGAGAGGATTTTTGAAATGGGTCTTTGTATCTGGCCGTCTCGTAAGACCTAAAGAACAAGTGGAGTGGAAACAGACTCTTATGGCCAACAGTGCACTGTGTTTGCTTTCACGCTGCACCCTCAATACCATCACTTATCCATCTTTTTCTTCTTTTTATATATACCTCTCTATTGAGAATGGAGAGCTTGAGAGCTCTAAGGGATTACAAAATAAATCTCAGTTGTGTCATATACATGACAATCAGCCTGACCATATCAAAACCTGCATACTCGTCTGCGCACCTTTTCTTTTTTTTTTTTTTTTTTATTGAAATGGAGAGTTAGGCTCTAAGGATTACAAATAAAATCTAGGGTGGTCAATACCATACAAATCAGCCACCATATCAAACCTGATGGATGTTGTGACAAGAGATGAGTTCCTAGGGGAAAATTTCTAGCATACTTAGAAGGGTAATGAGCACTTAATTAGCCTCGGTATGGATATGGCTAATAACACAGTTCCAATTATCTTGGATAATATTATTTATAGCTAGAATAAGCTGTTAGACACCTCTGCTTGAAACCATCTTGCCTTATAAGAGTTTAACTACTGCTTTATTATCACATTCCACCTTGATATGGGAGATCCCTATCTGTTTATCAATCTTATGTCCTTCGAGGACAGCCCATAACTTTGCATTTGGTACAGAGCGTGTCCCAATGACCGTTATGAAGCCATTACTCCATTGTCCTGAGTTGTCCCTAATAAGGCCCTCTCCATATGCCATTTGCTCCACCAAGGAGCCATCTGTGTTCAATTTGAAGAAAGGATCAATAGGGGGTGACCATGAAATCCATTTCAAACTTTTGTTTGCGTTCTTAATCATCTCTCCGCGTAACAGGTCAGCTGCATTAAAGTTTTCTTTAGTAAATAAAATAATCTCTTTCACTAAGGTTCAGGGCAATATGTTGGCATGAAACGTCAAAAATGATTGACCATGGAACACTCGACTCATGCATCCTTTGGCTTTTAAGGTTCATGATCATCCAATCTTAAAGGGAAACACCTGCATCAAAGAAAATATCCAAGTCAGGCGCATTAAGGGAAATCCGTACCTGGTTTACATAACAACAATTCCTAAGCATGTGCATGGCAGTTTCGGGAGCTCCCATACAAATAGTACATGCAGAAGGACAAAAGTGCCTTCTATTTTCTCACTATTCATCTCTCATCATCAATGATCTGCTTGTTGATGAGGTATTCCAGAGAGAAGAGAAAGAGAAGGAGAAGAAGAAGAGACGGTGGAGAGGGCCATGTGTCTTCATGTAAAATAAAATAAAAACAAAAATGAGAAAAAAAATAATTACATTGTGTTAAAGTAAGGGTAAGATGAAAGTTTTATTATATTCTCTCTCCCTGTATACTTTTATTAAAAAGTTATCGGTGATAATGGGTCAAAGGGGATGTAAGTACCCGCTCATCTAACAC